TGTGGTACATTTATGTGAAATAAGATGGCCTTGTTTCATTGTTGTCATATTGGCTAGACATGTAGGTCCTTCTTGAATTGTGATATCACTATCCACTATTGAAGCTATGTATGGTTCAATTAGGTTTTTTTTACCTCGCTCTAGATTTCAATTATCTTAAAATGTATTTTGGTTGTTATGTAGAATATGGCTGCGCAAAATGTAGTTTTGTTATGCCGGTGGGGAGGTGAAATTATGTTTGTTGGACCAAATACCGTGTATAATGGAGGAAATATGGAACCACTAACACTTGAACCGGACATGACTTTCAATGATTTGATAAACCGGGATAACTGTGTCACTGAAGTACTATCTACTGATCACCCTCACTTGGGTTCGTCCATAATATGTGAGTATGTGAAGTCCTTTGTGCAGAAAGATCCGTCCCTGAAAGTTGAATTCATTCAGGATCTCATCTCCAAGCAATTTCATTTTGATGTTCCGTATCGAAGAGCATGGTATGCCAAGGAGAAAGCTATAGCTGAAATATTTGGGGATTGGGAGAGTTCTTACGGCAGACTTCTACAGTTCATGCAAGCACTCCAACAGTCAAACCCGGGAACCGTTGCTGTATGGAAACACAAAGCTCTAGTGGATGGTCCGTACTACAGCAACATGGAAGTGTTTGAACGAGTGTTTTGGGCCTTCAGTCCTTGTATCGATGGTTTTAAACATTGTATGCCTGTTATCTGTATCGATGGGACGCACTTGTACCGAAAGTATAAAGGAACACTGTTGGTTGCTACAAGTGTGGATGCAAGCTTCCAAGTAATTCCACTAGCATTTGCGTTGGTTGAAGGGGAAAATACTTCCAGCTGGTCTTGGTTTCTAGGCTGCATTCGGGTTCATGTGACGCAGCAAGATGGCCTCTGTGTTATATCTGATCAATGTGTTGGGATCATTGCAGCAATTGATGATCCTAACGTTGGATTCAACGAGCCGCGAGCCTATCACATGTTTTGTGTTCGCCACATGGCTTCTAACTTGAAGACTAACGTGCGAAGGAACCACATGAGAGATATGTTCAAGGCTGCTGCGTATCAAAGGCAAGAAAGAAAACTGCAAGTTGATCTGTGTTCGATCGGTTAGGCATGCACCAAGGCCATAGATTATATTGTTCAAGTGTCGTTTCCTATGTGGTCTTTGTTTCACGACGCTGGTCGCAGATATGGGATATATACCACAAACTTCTCTAAAACATTTAACAATGTGTTAGAAGGGAGCTCGGTTTCTATTGATTGTGTCCCTTGTCGAGTTAACTTTCCACAGAGTTAACAGGTATTTCACTTTAAGAAGGGAATCTTCTGAGGCTAGGTCTGAACAGGGACTTGCATACCCCCCAAGGTCACTGCCATTCTGGAGAAGAACACCGCAAAATCAAGATATCACAGAGTGGATACGTATAACCACCGACAGCATATATATCAAGTTACAACAGAAAGGGGAGAGCAACTTGGTAGAAAAGGAGGTTATAAACATACTGTTAACTTTCAGTTGAGAACGTGTACATGCAACAAACCATGGATATTCCACCTCCCATGTTTTCACGTTCTTGCAGTTTGTGAGAAGTATACACTATCAGAGCGGCCATGGGTGGACCGTGTGCTGCAATCGGAGGCCTATACGAACACCTATGCACCACAGTTCTTGCCTATCCCCTGTGAAACAACCTGGACAGAGTTTAGCGGCCCTAAACTCATTCCGGATGGCAGCATGGTACGAGGACAATGTCGGCCAAAGTTAAAGCGCATACGCAATGAAATGGATGAGACTAACTGCCCCCCAAGCAAATGCGGCCGCTGTCACCAGCAGGGCCACAACTAGAGAACGTGTCCATCTAGATCAACCAGGACCTAAGTTTGTATTTGTAGAATCCTGTAATAGAATACTAGCTTGATTTTGTTTCTGAATTTGTAACGTTTGTAACATTTGGAACATTTCTACTTTGAAGTTTGACATTTGAAATTTACCGTTTGTCGCTGCTTTTAATTTGAAATTTTGTTCGTGTTTAATTTCTAATCCAGTAATTGTGTTGATAATTAGTATATAACGTTGTTAATGAACAGATATCATGGACGGACAAGATAGGACATCCGGGCTTGTTGACCTTTCTGTCCTAACACTACAGGACAAACATCGGAGCGTTGACATATGGGATTAGTTAGTAATATTTCATTCGTCAGTTCATGTACTTGTATGCATGTTAAATTCACTACTACATTTTTGACCAAATGCAACGGCCTAATAAAGGCTAATACAACGGTATTTTAATTGCCGTTGCAATAGAGTAGACTATTGCCACGGATTTAAAACTAATGTTCTTATAGGTAGAGCTATTGCCACAGCTCTAAAGAACCGTGGCAATAGCCTAGCTATTTTAACAAAAATGAGAGCTAATGCAACGGTATGTGTTGTATCATGAAAATTTTAGAAGCGCGCATTTCTTCCCTCTAATATTTTCCCCAAATATTTTGAACAACACGTGTTTATTCACAACTCATTCTCACGGATTCTCACATCACCCATTTTCTCCATTTCCCCCAATTCTCCATTTTCCCCATCTTCTCACATTCACATATTTGCTTCAACTCCAGAATTACTTCGAAATTCTGAGGTGAAAATCACGAAAATAATCACTCAAAAATTCTAAGAGGAAAATAAGCAAATAAATCTGAGGAAGTAGACGAAGGCGGCAATCAGGAGGTGGTGGCTGATAGCGGCAGTCAGGCGGTGGTGGCTGATAGCGGCACAGGAGGTCTCAATTTCATTCTTGCATGTCCCTTCCTTGAGCTGATTGCTCGAAATTCTGTTCAACGTATACAACGAATTTTCGTTTTTTAGAATTAAATTTGAAGTTTTTGCTTTTGTGTTTGGGAATTTGTATTTGATGCCATGGAAGATGAAGTTTCCGCTCTGGTAACTCTTGGAATTAAACGACTAATGGGTTTTGTTTGGCAATATTGATTTTTTTTTATTTTATTATTTTTGAAACTTAGCAGTACTGAATATTGTATTTGAGTAGTCTAATGGGGTTTTTTGGGGGAATTTCATATAAATGGATAAGAAGATATATTGATTTGGGGTGGCTGATTTGGTTCATTCATGGGGTTAGACTTTAGAGATCCAAGTTTATTACTCTTTGTGTCAGCTATGATGATTATGGTGTTTTGTTTATTACCTTTTTCTAATTGCTATATCCATTTTTGTGAGCTGTGAATTATTTGTGTGAACTTTTTTTCCCTGTTTCTCTCTTATGTATGTATATGTATGTAAATTTCGGTTTTTGAATATTTATTTTTGATAATTGGAGGCCAAAATTTCTTTTTTCATAATTGCATGTGTTTATGTGCGTTGTTGTATATGGCTCATTAGCTAGCTGCTTTGGGATTGGTTTAAATGTGTTTATGCTTTCAGAATTTGTAGCTCTGAATCCTGATGGGATATGATGACTAGCACTGCATATACGTTGGACTTGATCAAACTGGAACTGTTTTATTACAATCAAATACAGAACTCACATCTATGTCCATCTACATGTAGTCATTTACCTTTTATGGCTGTATTTTGTGTTTATGCTTTTTTTCACATGAGTATATTTATTTATGAATCCTGGACAATACCCATTCCTTGTACCAGCAACTAAGCAATCTCAAGAAACTTTCTTTTGTTATTTCCTTTGTATTTAGTGCCATGTTTTTATTTTCCAGCTTTCTTTCCACTCAACTGGTAAAAAATTAAATAAAGACTTGTGATAATTTCTTTGTTGGTTATCCATGACTTTTTACGCAGTAAAATACCATATCTTTTTGAAGAACATAAGGTGTTTAATAACTATGTTTGCTTATACATAAGGCAAGCTCAAACATATTTATGAGCTTTATCAAAAGCTTAATTTTGCTAAGTTAATTGAGCTTGCAATGTTAAACTTCAACAAGTTAGTACTTACTCAAATTAAATTCGCACAACCCCTTCTTAAAATCAAGTTTTTTCACCTTCATGCAGCTCTGTATGCACTATGCAGTAGGAAATTTAAAATTCGGATTGCACTTTTAGCTTTAATTTCTCCCTAATGCTCCCTGCTTCTTGAATGGACTCACTAGCAAACTGGACACTAATTACAACTTTAAATTATATGCTGCCCCCTTTTTCCTACTCCTTATTTTTGCTGCCCTCCTTTTGCTACTCTCGTGCTGTCATCACTACCCTCCTGCTCCCTCCCTTCTGCTGCACCCCTTTTGCTGCTGCCCCCTTATGGGAAGAGTGCTCTTGAGTGGGAACTGGTTGTACAGGTTGTTTTGTTTATTGTTTATGTTTACATTGATCTCCATGAGTAGCTTAGGTGATGTATGCCTTATGGACTGTGTGGAATCCTGTAATTGAGAAGAATGTATTTGTGTTTTCATGTGTGGTGTATTCTTATCAGACAATTTTGTTTTATTTAAAGCTTGCATAAGGTGGATTGTTTAACATATTTGTCCGCACTCATGCATTTGCTATTTAAGTATATGAAACTTGGCCGATTAGGTTGTAGGTATATGGATTAGACATTAATGGGTTAGGCATTTTTACTCCAATGTGCTCTCCTATTTACTATTTAGTTAAAGAAGTCACCCAAAGCCTTTAGATTTAACATAAATTATTAGAAATTACTGTTATTCAATCTTTGAGATGTGTATCATTGTCTGTGTGTGTGACTAATAGTTGCATTGAGGGCTTTAAAAGAGGCTTAGAAGTCTGGGTCTGAATACGTAATTCATATGAGAAGGGTTTGAGGCAAGCAGTTTCTGCAAATATGCTTTATCTTGATTTGTATTGTTTATTTGATGGTGGCTCTTAAAACACTCACTAGTAGAAAAAATGAATAAGGCACCGCAGCTTTCGCACTGGTTCTTACAAAACCGGTGCGAAAAGTGAGTAAATCGCACCGGTTCAGTTTGAACCGGTGCGAAAACTCTTGTTTTTTTTAAAAAAAAAAAACCCGGTTATAATTTAACCTTCTTTCTTTCTCTTGAAACCCCTCGATCTTTCCTCCTCTCTCATTCTCTCTCCTCCATTGAAGCGTACTCATCTGCCTCTCTCTCCTTTCCTTTCTTCTCTCTTTTGATCGCCTTATTACGACCTATACACCCTTCCCCGGTTTCATTGTGGAGCTCTTCAGTTGTGCTCCATCAATCAAGGTTTTCCTCTTTCTTCTTTTTCAGTTGCATTCGATCTTAGGGTTTTGTTTGTTTTTAACTTGAGGTGTTTTTTAGGGTTTTGTTTGGCGGTGGTGGCTGTGGTGGCCTTATTGCGACCTAAAATCGTTGGCTTCATCTTCTTTTGTCGAATACTCTTCATGGTGGCGCAATTGCGTCTTTGGTGGATTTGGTGGGTTCGGCTATTGCGCAATTGCGAATACTCTTCCTTTTTTCTGGGTTTGTAATGAAATTTTTGGCTTTGTTTGTGTTTTTTTTATGAAATTATCTTGTGGGTTGTTTTGTTTTGATGTTTTTTTTTATGGGTATCTTCTGTTTTCCTGTTTTTTCTCCTTAATCTGATTATGGTTTGATTAATATGATTTTTGGACCTTAAATTTTTGGTTTATAATGTTTTGCTTTGATTTCATCTTATAGTGTTAAGAAATCCGGCAAATTTCGGAAGGAAATTTGTAATTTCATGAATATCATCAACTTTAGCATAAGTTTGATTAAGCTTGATGTCTTTGTGAATTTTGAGAATGCTTGTGATAAGGGTAATCCTACTTTTTTTTTATATTTCTTGAGGTGTTTATTTTCCTGGATTCTTAGTTTGTTTACTGGTCTTTTTGGTTGATTGGCTTTTTGTTGAACTTGATGAAGTTGTTCATATTTACATTGTTTCATATGATACGTAGAATCATTATGGGATTCGTAGAATACACATAAAGTTGTAGAGGGTAGGTTGTTGTGCAAGTTTCACCTATGAACAAGATATTTCCTTTCTTCAGCTTAAGAGCTTTGCAACGAGTGGTCTTATATGCAATTCAAATGATTAGAGAGGAAGGTGAAAATTAGCATTCAAGGTAGTAAGACAAAGCCTTTTCTATTCAATGTGATAACACAGTGAGCAATTCTTTCAACTTGGAAGCAAAATCTCAAAAGTGTAGCACAGAGTAACCTTCTGTTTGGGTATAATTAGTAGGAATGGTCAGCCTATAGTTACCTTGTGCTCAGTATTGGGAAGATTTGGACTTGACTGACCACAATTATCTGATGCTCTGTTGAGAATTGCTAGTAAAGAGGGGTTCCATGGGATGTTGGAGTAGTTGTGACAACATACAACATGATTGCTTTTGATGGTAAACGTTCTGAAGAATCTGAGAAGATTATTGAAGAAATAAGAAATAGAGATGGGGATTACTTCTCATGGATGAGGTAACTACTTGTGTTGAAGGACCTTGGGCATTTTTGGGTGATAATGACCTTGAAGTTTAAGGGAAACATGTCTAACTTCCCCTTATTTAATCTGATGTTGCATGGGTGCATGTCGTTCCTGCTCAGATGTTTCGGAAAGTTATCAGCACTACAAAATCGCATTGCAAACTTGGGCTTATGCAACGAACTTCGTGGATTGAGTAGGAATTGACACAGTTCAAGGGATAATTAGAGAGAAGGACGGATTGATTGATAGTAGGAAATACAAAATTAGTGACTTTAGGCCACAAGTCTCCAAGTCCCAGGCTACAATTTTCTGAATGCCTTTCTCTCTCCTAAACTTCTCGTATATATAGGACTATACTAACTAGCTTTAATTACTACATGTACTACCATTCGTCTTTTTCCTAAAAGCAAGCATTAATTTAAAGGAGACTAATAGGACACCAACGGTTACAGCTCTGTGGAGTTGCAGGCTGCTGTTGTGGGTGGAGAGTGCTCCCTTGCCCCTGTTGCTGCTGTGTCAGGTTGCAGCTGTTATGGGTGGAGAGTGCTCCCCTGCCCTTGTTGCTGCTGTCTTTGTCTTCTTCCTTCTGCTGTAAGTGTAGAGTAGTGGTGGTGTGGGTTGGCTCATGACATTACCCACCCCCAAAAGACACACCTTGTCCTCAAGGTGGAAGTCAGGGAACCGTAACTTAATCGTCTCCTCCTCCTCCCAAGTAGCCTCCACTTCTGGCAGGTCTTTTCATATAGAAGAGTTTTTGGAATCACCAGTCGTCCCTAGTCGTCCCTTATAGAAGAGTTTCTGATGATCGATGGTGAACCCAGAAACTTCCCTTCCCCCGTCCAGGTCTTGCCTCACCTTTAGTAGCAACTTATCTTCTTCAATCTCCTTCTCCAACTCCCCCCAATCCACCGTATGTTTGGTGAGCATGGCCCCTAACTCCGTACCTTCCTCGCCCCTTCGTGAGAGGGCGTCAGCCACTCAATTTGCTACCCCAGGTTTATACTATATTTCGAAATCGAAACCGATGAGTTTCCGTATCCACCGTTGATATTCCATCCCCACCTCTCGCTGTTGAGATATGAACCTCAAGCTCTGCTGATCACTCCTAACTACAAACCTCCTGCCCAACAGATAATGCTTCCACTTTTGCACCGATAAACACACCGCCATCAACTCTTTTTCATAGATTGATTTACTCCGACCACCAGGCCCCAACATCTTGCTAAAGAAAGCAATCGGCCTTCCCTCCTGCATCAGAACCGCTCCTAGCCTAAAACCCGATGCATCCGACTCCACCACGAACATTTTAGCAAAGTCTGGCATGGCTAATACGGGGGCACTACTCATGGCCTTCTTGAGCTCTTCAAAGGCTGTGGTAGCTTCTGAGCCCCACTTAAAATTGTCCTTCTTTAGTTGCTCAGTAAGTGGATGAGCTATATAAGCGTATTGGGCTATAAATTTTCTGTAGTAGCCTGTCAGGCCCAGAACCCCCTCAAATCCCTTAGTGTTCTGGGTATGGGCCAATTTATCATGGCTGAGATTTTCTCCTGGTCCACAGCCACCCCTTCTTTAGAAATAATATGGCCCAAGTAAGCTACCCTTTCCCTTCCAAACTCACATTTTTTTCGATTAGCAAACAGTTGGTGGTCCTTGAGAGTGGCCAGTACAGCCTGCAAATGTTTCACATGCTCCTCCCTACTAGCACTATACACTAGAATGTCATCAAAAAATACAAGTACAAATTTGCGTAAATAAGGTCGAAATACCTCGTTCATCAAGGATTGGAACGTAGCCGGGGTATTTGTGAGACCAAAAGGCATCACAAGGAATTCGTAGTGACCCTCATGAGTACGGAACGCCGTTTTGTGGGTATCTTCCGGCTTCACTCGAATTTGATGATAACCGGCTTTAAGGTCTAGCTTGGAGTACACTTGAGCTCCATACAACTCATCCAATAATTCATCAATCACCGGTATGGGGTATTTGTCAAGAACGGTTTCTTTGTTCAATGCTCTATAGTCAACACAAAAACGCCACGAGCCATCCTTCTTTTTGACCAAAAGGACTGGACTCGAGAAGGGGCTAGTAGATGGGCGGATAATCCCGGCCGTCAACATTTCCCTATGAGCTTTTCAATCTCATCTTTTTGAAATTGGGGGTACCGATAGGGCCGGACACTTACTGGATTGGTACCCTCCTTGAGGATGATACTATGCTCGTGCCCCCTCTTGGGTGGCAACCTTTCCGTCGTCTCAAACACCGTAGCATACTCCTCCATCACTTTCAAGGATGATACTGTGTGAAGTGATATAAAGTTGTGTGTGGCCCCGGGGTCGACCATGACCACCACATCTAGCCCACCGATTTTCCCCACCAGCTTCATGGTCTTCGGATTCGTGATCCCCACTAGAGAATTTATGGATATCACCGCTGGCCACTCCTCTTCCTCTTCCGGAGCCTCCATCGCCGCTAATTCCCCATCACCCTCCTGCTCTTCTTCTTCTACAAGAAGCACGCTTAGTTCCCTGGATTTACACTTGTGTCCGATTCCCCACCTCTCATCACACCTTATCACAGCCCCTTGGCTTTCTTATCTTGCAGCTCCTTCTCCGTTAGGCGTCGCACCTCTCCTGTAAATCTGGTGGAGCTTGCGCTTGTTCTTTTTTGTGAAGGAGAAGTTGGCTGGAATTTCGCTGATCCACTGGAACTTTGAGCAGGCCCCTTAAAAGATGTGGGTTGTTGAGAGTGTGAGTGGGTCGGCCCACTTCCGCCACTAAATAAGGTAGATGCTGGAGTTTGGTTAAAATAAGAGAAGGGCCCAGGCTTAGTGAAACCGGCTCCCGTTTTCTTTTGCCCACTAACCCGGTTTCTTTCTTCAACCCGAGTAGCCAGATCCATAGCCTGTTCCAAAGTTAATGGGTTGAGCATTCGTATTTCAGCCCGAATGTCCTCCTTCAACCCATTGACAAAATGCCCCTTCATCAAGCTCTCCGGCACATCCATCAATGGAGCCGCCTTCTCAATAAAGGCCCGCCGATAATCCGCGACTGTGGTGGTGTGGGTGACGGCCAGCCACTGCTCATGAAGGGTTCTAGAGTTTGCCGGACGGAATTGGCGTAACACACGCTCCTTCAACTCCTCCCAGTTACGAACCGGTCACCGGCGACTCTCCCATTGGTACCACTGGAGAGCGTCGCCCTCCATGGAAACCACCGCAGCTTGTATCTTCTCGTGCTCTGACAGCCGGTAAAAATGGAAGTATTGTTCGCCCCTTAGGATCCATCCATCAGGATCGGTTCCTTGAAACAACGACATTTCCAATTTATGGTACTTCCAATTTCCCCTTCCCTCTTGCTGTTCTCGCTGTCACCCTCGTCCTCCATTCTGAACCTCCCAATACCAAACCCTGTTCGCTCGTTTCTGATTCTACCGGCGTCGGAAAACTGTTCTTCCCCCTCGCCAATAGGGTTCTTCCCCAGGTCCCTCACCCTATTCATCATTCCTCTCATCTCTTCAAAGAACTTCTCCTGGCCGCTCATTAAGAGTGAGATTTTCCCATTCTGGTCTTCTCTGAAGCGACTCAGCCTTCCTTCCATTCTCTGGCTGGCATCTTCTATGGCTTCCTGATTCTTCCTCGCCTCCTCTTCCTGATTTTTGCTGAACTGTTCGGTGAGTGACCGTTGGAGGTTCTCCATGCTTTCCGCAATTGTCCTGGCAACAATTTGTTGGATGGAGTTCTCGCCCCCATCCACCTTTGAGACTATTTCTGCAATGTGCTCTTCTAACGCCTCAATTCGTTGGGTGTGTGTTCCGGTTGCCGGGGCCATGGCTGCTCTGATACCAATTGCAACGGACTACGTGGATTGAGTAGGAATTGACACAGTTCAAGGGATAATTAGAGAGAAGGACGGATTGATTGATAGTAGGAAATACAAAATTAGTGACTTTAGGCCACAAGTCTCCAAGTCCCAGGCTACAATTTTCTGAATGCCTTTCTCTCTCCTAAACTTCTCATATATATAGGACTATACTAATTAGGTTTAATTACTACATGTACTACCATTCGTCTTTTTCCCAAAAGCATGAATTAATTTAAAGGAGACTAATAGGACACCAACGGTTACAGCTCTGTGGAGTTGCAGGCTGCTGTTGTGGGTGGAGAGTGCTCCCTTGCCCCTGTTGCTGCTGTGTCAGGTTGCTGTTATGGGTGGGGAGTGCTCCCCTGCCCTTGTTGCTGCTGTGTTTGTCTTCTTCCTTCTGCTGTAAGTATAGAGTAGTGGTGGTGTGGGTTGGCTCATGACAGCTTACTGGTATTTACTTTTGCTATGATTTTATTCATGCTATTTATTTGTTGAGTCGATTTGTCGACCATACATAGTTGAAAAAGTGACCTGTTTTTTTTTCACGTGCCTACAACCTGCCTATGCGTTTTCCTTTGTTTTCCTATTGTGTGCTTACTAGAGGATATTCATGGCAAAATTTTGTTGTTTTCTGTGTAATTGGAGTAGTTATGTGATGTTAATTCCCAGCGTGTATGTTTCCTGCTTTTGTTACAAGCGAATTATTTATTATGTTGTCAGCATTTCAAGTTGAGTGTTTATCTGAAATCTTTCTATCTTGTTTCAGGTACCATTGGATTAGACGCAAAGGACGGCCTGCAGCGAGAGAGATTGCAGAGCTATCTTGTTTTAGGTACCATTGGAGTAGTCGGGACTATTATCAGAGCTATGCAGGTATTGACTTTACTTACTTAATTTTCTTCCTGATTTTTTGTATCTTGTAAGTTCTTGGTATAGTTATATGTCATCCTATGGGTAAACTGAAATCTCTCTTGCGCTGAAGGCCAATGAATTAGTGACTGATGTTTGCTCAATTATATATGACTTTTGCACTTATATTATAAACATGACTGCTTACTTTTGTTTACAGGTTATATATGTGAATAGGTTCTCACCTTCATCAAGGAAACATGCTGTTAATGAGATAAAGGTACAGGAACCTGTGGCTCTTTCTGATGTCTTTTCAATACATATATTTGTCTTCCTAATGGCCTCCTGCTGTTATTCTGCGTGTAAATTTAATAAGACTTAATGACCATGTTCCATGTTGATTTCCTGATTTTCATTAGTTTTTATTGTTTTGACTTGGCTGTTCATCATAGGTGTTCCAAAATTACCAAACCTTCCTGTAGAATTATAAATGCTATATACTCATTGGGTAGTAAGTGAAGCTAGATGATGATGCATAACTGTAATCTTGGCTGTTCATCATTTTGGCTATGCAGATCTAGCTACATGACCTACATTTATCTTGTTTTGTTAAATAACCTTGTGTCAATCAAGACATTGTCTTCAAAATAGAGAATTCCCAGCCCAAATTTTATTAGCTCATGACATGGACTATGCTGACATAGCTACATTATTCTGGTTATGTTCAATATCTTGTATGATCCAAATTCAGCAGCTTTTTTTCTTTTTCATATTTTTATAAAATAATCCTGCCCTTTTCATACTAGTGCTTATGTAAATGGCATTTAGTTCGTAGGTTAAGATATCATTTTGGGCCGTTTGATATGAACTGTTGTCTTATGTAACAGCTATCATTATGCTTTGGTAGGTTAAGATTGTTGAGTGGTGGTCCTTGCCTAGCTACTCATTTTATAAAATTTTCCAAGTTATGTTATCCTTCCTTGTCGTGTGCCCTCCATCGTCTAGATCTGATAAAATTAACTCGTATCTAATTATTCAATTTCGATCTATAATATTTTGAAGATAACTTGTAACTTGTTCGTAGATTAGAAATTTAAATTGATAATAGATTCGCGAGAACCACAAAACATTTCAGACGACTTTGGTTCGTGAGTAGTTTGACTTTTACCCTATTATTCTAAGTTTGACAAAAATATTAAGAGTATTAATCAAACTAGCTAGAACAATAGACAGGGAGTATAGAAGTGGTGATATGGAGGTCTACGTTTATTAAATTCCAACTTCTAATATCCTTCTGGCCAACTCCCAGAATAAGGAACAACAAATCATTTTTTTTTCTTATACTTTGAACTAAATGCCATTTAGATAAGGGCCATTTTAAACACTATTTCAAATTATGATTAAGTACTTGACAAACATTTATAGACATAAAAGAAAAGATTTTATTAAAATAAAACTGACTTCTCATCTATCTAGAAGTGTAATTTGTTCTTTTTCAATGTCTAACTCTATGCTTATTAAAGAGTGAGTTTATTCCTAAACTTGCTTGTGTGATTGTAATGTACCACTGTGCTTGTGATTGATTTTACAATTTTCTGGAGTTAGTTAGTGGATCCTATCCTAACAATCAGCTTATTGTTGCTAAATCTGTTGTCCAGGCTGACGTTTGTCATGCTTACCAAATTTTGAAGAAAGGTGGTTTAAAAGATGAAAATATTATTGTTTTCATGTATGATGACATCGCTTATCATGAGGAGAATCCGAGACCCGGGGTCATCATCAATAATCCCCATGGAAGTGATGTCTACGCTGGAGTCCCAAAGGTTTTCTCTAGTTCACCCTTTCCATTGTCACTTAATGAATGTTATGAAGAATTTAATCTCGTCTGCTTGATGTGGTATGGCAGGATTATACTGGGGAACATGTGACTGTCAACAATTTTTTGGCAGCGTTACTTGGTAACAAAGAAGCTATTACTGGTGGCAGTGGAAAGGTGGTGGATAGTGGCCTTAATGATCATATTTTTATCTATTATTCGGACCATGGTGGTGCTGGTGTGCTCGGTTAGTATTTTGATCCTCATAGTTCTCTTGCAATACTTTCGTTGTTTATGGAATCTGTTTGTTTTGAATGTTTATATTATAAATCTCTTACAATATCTTATATTGTACTACTATAGCTTTTTGAGTGTTGAGTATTTACCGGGAGTAACAGCATATTATGGAAATTATTGTGCGGCTAGTCTCTCTTGGCTTTTAGGTGCTTTCATGTTGTCTATTTGACTTATCCTTACAAAATCCTTCTTCATATAGTAGGTAGTACATTGGCAGGTTCTTAAATACACGTGGAATTGACTCCTGATGTTCTTATGCCATGCCTTGTTTAGTACTAGATCAATGTGAGCACACAATGATTATTTAATTTTATGAAGATTTATGGTTTTACAAGTGCAACCGTTTGAAGATGAACATACCCCTAGGACTGTTACTTGTCATGTTCAATTTCATTACTACTCCATATTGTTGGATCCTCACCAATGTGCTCAATCAATTTTTATCATATTGTTTCTTGTGAAAAAATGGATTTCAACACGTTGTGCTTGTTCAGGTATGCCTACAACTCCATTTCTCTATGCTGATGAGTTGATATATACATTGAAGAAAAAGCATGCTTCTGGAACCTATAAGAGCTTGGTGAGGTTATCCTCCCCCTGTCCACCACATACAATTTTTTATCATTGCGGGAAGTGGTTTACGATTATCGTCAAATTTATCAAGGAAATCAATGTATAATGAATTTTTTTTTTTTTGTTTTCTTTTTTCCTTTTTTATTTTTTTTTCTTGTCAAAAAAAAAAAAAGAAATGCGTTTTTTGCCAAAACAGTGGATACTTATAAGTAGCAATTGTATACCTTATACTAGCATCTCTTCTATAAACAAGTTATTCTGGATGGGGTTTCAGTTCTGTGACTTTTGTGATGTACTGAATATTGTTTAAGAATTACTTTACAACCCTTCCCTCTTCCTTCTTTCAGAAACCAAAAAGCATGCATGCATCTTGTATGGAAGGGAGTGTGTGTGTGTGTAGCAGCTTTGACAGGTAAAACAACAGCAATAGCCAGCACCAGGCAGACACAGCACCACCAGACAACAGCTAACAGCCAGCCAGAAACAGAAAGCAGTAGCCAGCAATAGCTAAACACACCATGCAAACAGAAACCAGCAACTAGACACAAAGCAAGCAACACAGCCAACAGAAAACAGCAGCTTACTAAAGGAAAGTTGACCTGGCTGTTAAATCGAGGACTCTGCTTCTCCAGACCTTGATTCTGTTTTTTTTTTTCTTCAGTTTTTTAAAGTGTAATATTACAAGATATTGAAGAAAATATATGTGTTATGTATATTATGATTATATATAAGTATTTGGTACAATTTAAGTGAAAAACATGCAAAAATTTTTTTTTTTTTTTTTTTTGTTTTTTTGGGCATTTTTGGCACCGGTTTTGGAAAAAAACCGGTGCTAATTGTTTTTTTAAAATAATTTTGGGGACTTTTGGCACCGGTTCTAAGTAAAAACCGGTGCGAAAATTTTAGGTTTTGGCACCGGTTCACCCATAGAACCGGTGCGAAAAGTCATTTTTCCCACCGGTTTTGAACCGGTGCGAAATCTGTGGGGTTTTAGCACCCCCCAAATCTGGACCGGTTCAAAACCGGTGCGAAATGGGGGGTTTGAACCGGTGCCTATTTGCCTTTTTCGCCTAGTGACTAGAAGAATGATTATACTTTGATATGGGTTCTCCCTTAATATTATTAGTTTTAGGCTTTTTAACCCTCCTTGCTAATTACACTTGCCTTTTTTTAACATCTCATTTCTTTTTCATTGTTACTAGATTAATGTAAAGTGGGTCATAAATTTGTATGAATACAACTTTGATGTCGCTTGCTTATTACACTTGATAAAGTTGTCCTTAACAATAGAAATACACTAGTTTTATTAAGTATTCTGATTATTAGAGTAGTTCTCTTTCTTCCTAGTGGTTGTAAAGCAGATTTTATTGTCAGTTCTTTCTAATTGATTAAAGTAACTCTCTTTTTTCTTAGTGAATTGATTAAATGTTTTTACAGTAAAAATTAAGTAAAGTAACCCTCTTAATTCTTAGGGTATTTTGACTTTTGGTACCACAAAAAGACCTGCTATTCAATTTTGCTACCTCTAACAATTTTTATTTTATTTTACTACCACTAAAAATCAGGTTTTTTTAAAACTGATAACAGTTGACGAAAATTGTTAGATTAGCCGTTTGTGGGGCTCACTTCAACCCTGCCTCTCTCTTTCTCCTCCTTCCCCAATCAAGTGCAACAGTCAGGTTCACAGCAGCAGGCAGCAGCCATGAACAGCTTCCAGCCACCACCACGCTGCAGCCTGATTCCAGCCAACGCGCGGCCTCAACGATTGCCGGAAAAACGCGAGTCGGCGCAACCACCGACGGCCTTTGAATGGCGCGCAACCCTTGCACGCAGCCTCCTACGGTGCCTCGACGAACATGAGAACAAAACATCCCAAAATTCGAACAATTTCGAATTAAAATCAGGAGTTTCTAGCGTTTGATGTTCGAATTCAATCCCAAAACAAGATTTTGGTATCAATTTTCAATCTTATTGGATTAATTTGATGATTTTCATTCAAAATCAATTTGGGGAAAAAGTTAGGGTTTATAAGAACTTTTGAATCAAACTCTTTGATTTCAAAACGAAAATAACAATTATTTACATGATTTTGCAATTGAAATCTAAAGAAAACAAAGCCCTCAATCAATTTCGACACAACTTGTCGAATTAGAGGTCAAAAATTTTCGATTTTCCCCTTGTTCGAATCGACCACCCCTACAATCATACAATCATCATCATCGTCGTCCGTTGGTGGGGGAAAGGGTTTGGGGTGGGGTCGCCGGCGTTCGCCCAAGCGCCGGCCGCCGGCAGGGGGGAGGGGGGAGGGTGGCTGACGGGAGAGGGGGCAGTTGAGGGTGGCTGGGGTTTTTTTTTATAAACATTTTAATTTTTAATTTTTTTTTTAATTTTTGAATAAACTTAACGGAATCCTAACGGATTCCGTTAAGTGGTAGTGAAATTTAAATTATGTGATTTTTAGTGGTAGTAAAATTAAAAAAAAAATTGTTAGAGGTAGCAAAATTGAATAACAGGTCTTTTTGTGGTACCAAAAGTCAAAAATTTTTATATTTAAAATTAATATTAAGATATATTCTATTTTTAATTAAGTCAATTCTTATTTAATTGAGAGTTATTATAGTATAAGTCAATTAATGACTTGTATGATCGGTCACAAGTCAAATCTAGTACTTAAATTATTAGGGAAATTCTACATGGCGGTCTCATGAATTCAACTTTTCTACGTGGAAGACGAATTCTTTTCCAACTCTCTTAAGTGGCACCAAGGTTTAGAAAAATTAACCATAGTGACCTTTTTTAGGTTTATGGCTAATATGATTTTTTTTTTATTAAAAAATTATTTAAATTATATTTTAAAATAATTAATTTAAAAAAAAAAACAAAAAAAATTCCCAGCCACCTATCCCCACCGTCAAACCCTAACCCCACCCCTAGCCTCACCGGAAACCGACCAACCACCCCTCTTACCCATCGAAACCGAACGGCTGGATCTGTACACCACCTTTAACCCATCCCCGACCTCCAAAACCACCAACCCAGCCAACCTTGACCCCCAAAACCACCTAAAGTCACCGTGCGCGCTCGTCGGACTTGTTGGTGGTTTTTGGTATCGGGGTGGCTGGGTAGGCGGTTACGGGGGTCAGGGCTAGGTTAGTTGGCCTTTTTAAAGGCCGGCTGACAAGTTTTGGTGGTCAAGGGGTGCGGCCGGCCAATTTTCGTCGAATTTAGGGTTTCGCGGTGGGGGTGGCGGTGACTTCGTAGTTATTTTGGGGATCGGGGTCCTCTTTCATCTTGGGGATTTCAATCCGTTGGAGGTGCTGGTGAGAACCTTGTCTAAATTTCGAAGGTTATGAGGGGAGTGTGTAGATCGTCCTCCTCCGTCGCCATTGCCCACCTTTGTGTGGAAGGTTTGTGTTTATTCAAAGGGTCTCCCCGTCGGTGAAACAAGGTCTAAGGACTAGGCCTAACGTCGCCGTCATAAAGGTCATCGGTATTTTTGACCGTGACGGAAACGGTAAAGTTAGGGTTAGGGTTTCGTGGGTCCTTGCACTGAAGGGCTAGGTCTAACGCCGCCGTCAAGAGTAGTAAGTGACGAAAACGGTGAAGTTAGGGCTATGGTTTTGAGGTTCCTAGTGTAAGTGGTTTCGGGTTGTCGGGTTGGACGGTGCATTCCTCGAGTTTGTTCCCTTTCTTAGTATGTTTGTTCTTAGTAATTATCAGAGTTTACTTGCCTTAGTTTTTGTTATGGTATGTTTTAGCCCCCTTTGGTTGTTTTCCGGGCTATTTAGTTGTTTTGGCTATAGTATTTTAGATGGTTGTGTGCAGTGGGAGTTAAGCCCCTTTGTTAAGGACAGTGGGGTGTTTACAGTGGTAAGAGAGGTTACAGGTGCGGTTGTTGGGGGTTTGAACAAGAAGTTGGCTATGGCTAAGGTGAAATGTGTAAGTTATTGGAGTGGTATGGGTTTGGTTTCTCTTCCCTCGGATGTAATGATTTTTTTGGTCATTACTCCTGATCCTTATTATCTGAAGCAGGCGCCTAAACTTTGTTTTGGGGTTTCTCGAGCCTCACCGTTGTCAAAGCTTTCTTGCCAACAAGGAAAGCTATTGATTGGGAGGTCACTAGTTCAAGTGACCCGTTTGATGACCTTACTTGGTGATGAGTTGATTCCGCCAGGTAAGGAAGTGCTAGCCATGGTCAAACAGTTTCGATTCCCTCCGTTGCTCTCTTCTTGGAGTGTAGTATGATTTTGCTCCTTGGTTTGTAAGAAGTCCCTAATCTGCGACTTATCCGGCCAATTCAAGTTTACTTTCGTCTCTAGTCTAAAAAGTTGTTGTAAAGGCTTTAGTGTTAAAAGCCATATTTTAAGTTTAAGTTCTTGTTTTGTAGATTGTAAACTCTGATTTTATGAATACATTTGCTCTTGTCAAAAAAAAAAATAAATAAAAAATCTTCTATATTGATAGCAAATCACAACATCCCACAAGTAACAAACCATCCCCCTAATATATAAATTCAGCTATACAATAAACTTCGACAATATTAGAGCAAGAAATAAAAACTCATTGAACCAACTCTAACACAATCAAATAAATCTCCAAATAGATCAACTATAATCATAAATTTCAGTAAAATGCAACCAAAAATTAGAAATATGGGGATGGAAAAGGGTACCAGCTGTAACGAAACACATGTTAACAAAAAAAAGCGTAACATCCCAACATCCTCTCTAAAGAGAGCTATCACATTCACATTGTCTATATTGCCTTCATAAACTAAATTACTACAAGATTTAACAAGTAAAACTAATTTAACAAGAATTGAAGTCAGGCCCTGAACTAGATTAGTATTCTAGGGTACCAAAAGTTTCATTTAAGTTGTGGGGTGCTGACTGTCACGGCTCCCAGCAATTCCCCTATGTTCCCACCCATTACTGGAGTAATGTTAAGCTGCCTCAGAGCTTCAATGGGATCCCCTTCCCCTCTGTCCCTAAAAATACAACCCTTTATCTCTTTTGGACACACAGATTTAAAAGAGTATATTATAAATATGGTCAAGTTCGTACTCCGTATATTTTCAATAACACAAGGAGTTAGCAAAGTACGAGTAGTAACTAATCAATGAAGCAAAAACTGATTAACATGGCCCATCTAATTCTGATTCAATCCACCCGATTGTGTATCAGCCTACACACAACTACACAAGTAGTAAGGAACATATCAATTTTACTATTTCGAAAACACACAAATTTCACCAGTAGCAATCTTCAATTCAGGGGTATCTTCCCCTATAGTTTTTCCAAGATAAACTGAATTCTGTGTCACCTATACAGCAGTTCCAAGATCTAACTCAAGAATCATGTCCTTATTGATTGATAATTTAGAGATGCAGCAGGCTATAAAAAGCATGAACTCAACAACAACAACATACAACAATAAAAAGCAGCAACAAACAACTAAAGCATCAACCATATAAAGAAAAAAAAATAGCAATAAAGTAACAGTGGGCATTAGAAAAAGACATCAACAGCAGCAACATTTCAATATAGGTACAGGTCAACAGCAAACAACAAAAGCGAGACAGAAGGAATAGAAAATATTTTATGTGACCTGATTAATTGTGGCACCAGATTTAGAAGATTGCCCATTTTGGTCAAACAAGAAGAT